GCCTCGGCCTCCCAAAGTGCTGGGATTACAGGCGTGAGCCACTGCACCCGGCCCAAATATGTTTTCTTCTGAGAAGAATAAAAACACAGGTGATCTACAAAAAATAGACCTTGCTCTTGAGTATACAATTAACTTTTGTGTGCAAATTTTATCCTATAAATCATAGTGTGACCCATCATTGGAGGAACTCCAAAAAAAACCAAACTGTAAACCTGTAATTTCTTTTGTGTTTTCTAAAGGTCAAATGCTGCAAATACTGGCCAGATGACACAGAGATATATAAAGACATTAAAGTTACCCTCATAGAAACAGAACTACTGGCAGAATATGTGATAAGAACATTTGCTGTTGAAAAGGTAAGTTTTCATACTGCTTTTAAAAGCTATGGTCAGACACTCATGGTATCATACTAGCCTCATTAACTTATCTAGGATACTTTACACATGCTTATATTCAAATGCAGGTAGGCTCAATCCAATGGTTTCTCAAGATTGCATCTTGCCCTCTGATTCTATAATAGTTCAGTTCCATCTTTAAAACAAATCATTCTCATTTCATAAGAATCTATGTTTTGTAAGTAAACCAAAAGTTAATGTCTATTTCTTTATTTTCTTTCCCTGGTTGATACTGTTCTGCCCGTCTCTCTTTCTTTGTTCACAGAACAAAGTTTGTTAAATTTTGATAAATGTCCCTCCAGTTTGGTAAATTTCTTTCATGGTGTATGTCCATAATGCATTTCCCAGTAGGGAGTTAGTATCAGTGTTGAGACACAGGTCCTAACTCCTCCTGGAATCCCTCACTTCCTTGTGGTTTTCCAAAGCTCTGGTTTAATGTGGACTGATGGATTTTCCAGGTGGAAGTGACCTACCTGGAAACCTAAGTGACTGATCTCCATTAGACATGGGACACTCTTGCATGAACCAGCGCATTCATTCATGCTCACTCCCATACTGGTTCTCCCCTTTTGTAGTCACTGGTTTTGGGTCGGTGAATGCTCTGCTTTGGTTCTGCCCTGCCTCATCCCATGTGCATGGATGGGGCTTCTTCTCTGGGAAGCACTGTAGGGCATAACAGGGAATTTCCTTATTCCCCCTCTTTCTGCTGACATAGGGAGGGGCCGGAGGTGAAGCAAACTGCAGTCCATCCAGAGAAGTGTCACAGGTAGGCTCTGGGGAAAGTGGAGGTGATGTGGCTGAGAAACACTCTGCCTTCCAAAGATCCACAGACTTTTCTATGGAGAGTTGATTCTCCATAACTGAGCCCTGCACAGCTGCCCTGGACTTAGGGATCTTGGTGTGAATTTGTTCAGCTTATACTCGTGTAATAGTAGCAGGTCTTCTTGCAAGACCTGGGTTACAGGCAGATTGCTAGGGAATTGGATTTTGGCCTTCCTCTCCACTCTATATTCTCACTGCATCTAAATGCGCTTTTTAGATGAACAAGACCAGTTTTAGGAAATCAAGGAAATTGCAACATCTGCTTATTGGCTAATTTAGTCTGATGTTTTGAACTACCTTTCCTGGTTTGCAGATCCAAATTTGTCATAGAATCACAAAGCTGGAAAGACTTTATTTTAATCTGTTTCTCATACTATTTAGCATTTTTTTTCTTAGCCTATCTTTTTTAATAAGCAGGCAGAAAGCTTGGAGACTTCAAAGAATGAGGAGTCTGGTTGACTCAATTCTTCAAGTTCTGAACCTCACACTTTGATGTCAATTTTTTCCTTCTTAGGCAGGATTGGGGAAAAAAAATACATGGAGGATTTTTGTATGGCTGTTGGCAAGAGCACTCATGAATAACCGCATTAAAACAGCGATAAAAGACCCTCAATATTTTTTTTCTTTAAAAAAATCATCCAAAAGCCATCACTTAAACATGGAGTTTTTTGAACAATAGTCAGCTCTCTAATAAGCTGAAAATGCATCTCTGTAGCTAAAGGAAGGGTTTGTTTGTTTCTTTGCTCTTTTTTTTAACCTCTTATTGTCCTCTCCCAAATTCCCAGCTGCACAGAAATGTGTCTGAAATATCCAGTTATTTTAGTCACTAGACACCCAATGAAGAGGTGGTGGAGGGACGAGAAGGAAGAAGGAGCTTGTTAATGCATTTGGGGAAATCAAAATGACATGTTAGTGATTTTCTAACCGGGCAATTGGAATCTTTAAGGAAAACAAATCATTAGTACTTTTGTAGAACATTTCTTGTAGGTTTTAAACTTTCTCATTAGAAAGGAAGGAAGAAAACGGGTAAGCATGTACTCTGAGATACTTGCAATTCTGATTCTATTTTGAGAGCATGTTGCATCGAGGGACCTAAAGGTGAAAATGGATTTGGGCTCTGCTCTGCAAAACAAGCAGACGCAATGCACTTTGGAACTCACGAATTCCTGCTTTGCATCTGATTGTTGTCTTTTGTTTCCCACATAGCTGATGATTCCAAGCTAAACAGATTTTAAGTAATATGCAGTACCCAGAGTGTCAGAAGGAAGACGCCCCTGAAGTCTCCATGGATTTAGGCTGCCTGGTGAATCTACCCCTGCCTATCCTGGGAGAAACAAAGTTGACAGTGGTCACTGAATTCTCGCTACCCAGGAGCTGCCTAGGATTCAGAGAGGGCATGAGAAGATGATCCTCCTGTCTCCAAGACAGAACATGTAGTATACAAGACAGAACATGACTATTCATTTCACAAGTATTTCTTAAGCACCTACTTTGGGCCAGGGACTATTGTATGACTTGGTTCAAAATTAAGTGACTAGCTGGGTGTGGTGGCTCATGCCTGTTAATCTCCACACTTTGGGAGGCTGAGGCTAAAGGATCGCTTTAACCTGAGAGTTCAAGACTGCAGTGAACCATGATTGCGCCATTGCACTGCAGCCTGGGCAACAGAATGAGACCCTGTCTTGGGGAAAAAAAAAAAAAATTAAATGACTCTCACATTTTTATATATAACATTCATGCTTGTTATAATGAAAAATCAGGAAGCAATAGTATCAAATTGGGAGGTATTTGGGCTGTGACCACTGATGGCATCTATCATGTTCTTCCCCAAATGTGTTACATTCCAAAGCAGATAAAAGGAGACACTGCTGTGTCAATGAAGAAGAATGAAAGCAGGATCAGAAGCAATTTCCTTTGCCACTCTTGTCAATCGCAGACATATTCACGGGTGGAGGTTTAATTTTGAGAAACGTTTTCTCTATTCCAGAAACTGATATTTACCTTGCTCAGAAAAAGAGTCTTAGATCAGTTGAGAGCTGTAGTTCAGGCCTTGAGGTTGCTGGAACTGAAATCTAACAAAGCCAGAGAGGGAAGCACAGCCCATGTTCCCACTACCCAAAAAAACCCACCAGGATACGGAGAAAGATAGGCCCTTTTTTCCCCTTTGGAATAAAATATTTATCGTCAGTAAGCTGTCCCAGTTTATATATGGGAATGCATACCACCAAAATGGATCACTCCTGCCTGGGTCATCATGCAGAAAGCTGGGGGAGCTATTTAGGGGTTTGGAGGCTGACACAGGCTCAGCTGTATGTTTCCTAATGGAGACCTTGGGACTGGCAAATGTTCCCTTGGTTTTAGTAATGAGGAATTTGGGCTCCTAACGACCTAATCAGACTACTCTGGGATCACAAAGCCTATTTAGCAGACGACAATATTGATTTGCATTTGTGAATCCCTGACTGCTTAATTCCTTAATGCTTAAACTCTGGTCAAGAATGGCATTTTCACAGAGAAATAAAGCTTCAGCATTTATGAGTTATTAAATGAAGACGTATTAACACGTGGGTGCCAAGCAAGTCTGCAGTTGTTTGCTCTTCTGCTCTTTCAAAGCACATAAAAATTCTGAATTTCTTCTTTGCTCACTAAGTATGTGTGAACAATAATTGATGGTGAAAGTGATAAGGCTAATGAGTGTTTACTTTTAAGAGACAATAAAACCAAATGCAGAAATGGTTCAGAAAATGGAATGAGAGAAGGAAGAAAGTCCAATTTGATCCTAGATGTACATGCAGAGTTGATTCTGGTTTTGTTTTCAAAACAGTCTTTTGCTTTAAAACACAGTCTTAATATATAGGCTCATACTTAGAAAACAAAATAGAGAGGTATAAATTACCTTAATTATTCTCAAAACAAAAGTAAATTAAAACCAAAAGCAAACTATAAAGTCTCTTTCTTTCTGCCTTCACTACAGTTGAGCAGCAGGCAGCTCCCCTCAATTTGTTGACCTAGCATAGAATTCCAGCAAAAATACCTTTCAATTCCCATAGTATATATTGGCTTACATGCCTGTTTGCCACAAGCAGACTGTGATGGCCATTCAAAAACATACTTCTGTAGCCCTAGCACCTCACATAATGCCTGGGGCAGTGTAATCACTCAGATTGCCAGCGATTGGATGAATGGGTAAAATATTTACCCACATTAAAAAGAGAAACCTAAGAAACAGAGCTGTAAATGCAGATGAGTTTTCTGACCTGTCTAGTTGGAAAGGTGTCCTCATTCATTCCTCCTGCAAGCATCATCTGAGCATGCTCAGTGAGTGTGCACCACTCCAGTCCCTGCTGTGAGAGGTTCCAGGATACCGGAAAGCCCCAACACGGAGTTGGTATTGAGCACACAGATATCCTCTAATTCCTTCAGGCCCCCCTTCTGTGCCTCTTTCTCTACAGACTCTCACCTCACCAGACACCGTGTGATCTAAGTGAGGCAAACCTTTAACATAGTCTACTTTTTAGAAAGGAATTTCAAACAACCCAACCAATTCATCCGTTTGCTGGAATTACACCTAAAAATTAACGTTTTTCCCAAACATCATCTCCCTTTCATACCCAGCCATCTTCCTAAGGGTACAATGCCTTCCACATTGTGTGTAAGATCTAAGGATGGCCTCCTTCCCCAGCAGTCCACTGTTTCCTGGCCCTAGACTTGCTACGTGAGGACTGTTTCCACTCCCCCAGCTATCCCTGCTCATTTGTGGTTTGTTTTCCCTTGTTCTCTTCCTTGTTGTGGTTAAACAACTACTGCAGAGAGGTGTGCATGAAATCCGAGAGATCAGACAGTTTCACTTCACTGGCTGGCCGGATCATGGGGTCCCCTACCATGCCACCGGCCTGCTGGGATTCGTGCGGCAAGTCAAGTCCAAGAGCCCACCCAATGCAGGCCCACTGGTGGTGCACTGCAGGTAAGCAGAGCTCCAGAGCCTCTTGAAGGAACCGCAGTGGGTGATGGGTACAGGGCCACCTTTGCGGATGATGAGTATGTTTTAGAACTTCAGAGTGGTGATGGTTGCACATTTTGGGAGCACTAAATGCCACTGGAGTGTACCTTTTTAGAGGTTTAATTTTGTATTATATAAATTTCACCTTGATAAAATATTTAAAAAGCAGCAGCAGCAGTATGGTCCTTCTTCATCCACTGACAGACCCCCCTTTTCATTCAGTGCTGGTGCAGGGAGGACTGGCTGTTTCATCGTCATTGATATCATGTTGGACATGGCTGAAAGGGAAGGGGTCGTCGACATCTACAACTGCGTCAGGGAGCTGCGGTCACGGAGGGTGAACATGGTGCAAACAGAGGTACTCCCGCTCATCACCTAGCCTGTGGCCTTGGTCCCTGAGGTCTCTCCTGTATCTCCCCGTTTCAGGGCCAAGGACACAAGGAATCCAGGCAATTTTCTGTTCAAGTAATCTACCTGGCATTCCCTGTTCCTTCCCTCCCTCCCTCCCTCCATTCCTCCTTTTTGTTTTGCCTTTCATAAACAAATCAAGCAAACCCAGGAGTTTTCCAGGTAACAGAATCAAGAGCCCAAATTTGCACATTTTTTCTGTGTTAAGGGACCAAAACAAGTCCTGTTAAGTGCTCAGACTTTCAATACCATTGCCTTTTATTCTATCTTTTAAACTAGCTGGTAACCAGAGCAAGACCACTCCTGAGAATAGTGCCTGAAGGGCTATCTCTATGCACATTGTTCTTCTCCCGGGGTTCTGGGCAGAACAAAAGCCTCCTGACCCTAAAAATCCTGCCCAGTGTCTGGCGTTGTGGGGATTTGCCCATTTTGTGAAGCACTCTATATGTCTATGCTAACTAGTAACTCTGTAAGTGGAAGTTCAAGGTATATGGGGAATTTCCATTTTCCCAGAAGCAATATTACATCCTGCTCTTAGGACATTCATATTTTTACTCATGTTTGATTGTTTTAAGTAGGCGTCACACCCACCACCTGGAAAATGATTCACGAAGTGAAGTGAAGAAGGAAGAACCCCTTCCATTTAGATTGTGCATTTAAGTTTATGAAAGCCTCTGGGAAACCTAATCCCATTTTTTTTAGCTAACACAAAAATAACAGAAACTGTAAATGCTGCTTTCATGGGCCCTTTTCCTTAGAAAGGGGATACTGTGTTTGAAAGATAATCATAATAATTTATCTTTTAATATACTTTATAGTTAATCAATGTTGCCACTCCCATTTCTCACTTGGATCTTCTTTTTTCAGGTATTTAGTGGTAGTGTGCTGTTTTTGGGAATCTGTTGGACAAGAGGTTGCTGAAAAAAATAATTAGAAGTCCCATTTATGTATAGAAATCAACCAAATTAGCTGTAATAAGAGGCTTTTTAAGCTTTTCCTATAACTAAAAATAATAAATATGATAAGACTCTAACAATGAATTTTAAGAAAAGTCAGTGCCAAATCAGTTAGAGGCCCTGTGTTTACACTGTGTACTCACTGAACATATATATGAGAACAGCTCTCTGTACCTCTAAGAGCTTTCATAATCATCATATTAACTTTTATGTTCTGAAATAAGAATTCTAAGTACTTTCATGTTCTGAATTAAGAACTTCAGAACTTTTTGTCTTCATAGTAATGCCAAGTTTTTCTGGACCTTCTTTGCACTATTGTTTTGATCAGCAAATCCTACCATAGATAAAATTCTGCTCATTCCTCACGTGAAATACTGAGTTCCCAGTGAGTAGGATCAGAATGACAGTGGTCTTTAGCCACAGTTTTCATGGTGCCGCAGTGCGTGTGGTGGTTTGTATTGGGTCTGATTGGTTTTAATCAATCTATAATATTTGTCATTGTGACCCGGTCTCCTAGCACTTGAGCCCTTGGACTGTGTTTCTCTCTGGAGGAATTGTCTCCACTCTCTTGATGATGTGAGGCTAAAATTGATACTGTCTTTCCTCTTCCTCTGGTTCTCTAAAGTTAGTAACTTGTTCCATCTCCTCCTCCAGGAGCAGTATGTGTTTATCCACGATGCGATCCTGGAAGCCTGTCTTTGCGGGGACACCTCTGTGCCTGCTTCCCAAGTTAGGTCTCTGTATTATGACATGAACAAACTGGATCCACAGACAAACTCGAGCCAGATTAAAGAGGAATTCCGGGTAAGTGATGCCTAAGGCAGGGGCACTGCACAGTGACTTGCTCCTCAAGAAGGATTTCAAGGTCAGCACCTGAGTCAGCCCTTGAATCACAAGGTTCCTCGGCCTCCACAGCACTGTTGGCACTCAGGGCTGGGTAACTCTTGTTGGCATGTGCTGTTCTACAGGATGTTTAGCAGCAACCCAGAGCTCTATCCAAGAGACGTCTATGGCATCACCACCACACAAAAACACGTGTAGACATTGCCAGGTGTCCCCGCAGTGGACAGAAATACCTGGTTGAGAACCACTAGTCTAACAGCCATTTCCACCCCTCCCGTCTGAAAGCAGACACGGAGTAGTCCCCAACACCATGGCTCCTTGTCCACAGCATAACCATACGCAGTCACACCACGGAAGTGTGTGTTAGGAAGAGTTTCCAACCAAGGGCTCTCCATTGTATTCCTCACATTTGCATTTTGTCCAAATGTACCTGACTCAAGGCCAGACTCTTCCCCACTCTCTGACCTCCCAAATCCCCAGATGTCCCACTCCACTGGGACTTGAGGGCTCTTAATCGCAGGGACCCACAGTGGCCCATATATCTCTGCCTCTGACCCCTGTGTCTGATGGGCACCATCCGTGGACAAAATCCAAAGAGCGGAAGAAATCCAACTCGAACTGGGGAGGGCTGCGGAGGGGAGGGCTAGGGCTGCGGAGGGGAGGGCTAGGGCTGCGGAGGGGAGGGGAGGGCTGCGGAGGGGAGGGCTGCGGAGGGGAGGGGAACGTCTTGCAGTCAGCCACAGGAAGTGTGCATCTTTCCAGAACTGCACGTGAGAGGAGTCCACTGCCAAGTCTTCTTGCCCTCACGTGCCTTTCTTTTCTCACGTAGACCCTAAACATGGTGACGCCAACGCTGCGAGTGGAGGACTGCAGCATCGCGCTGTTGCCCCGGAACCATGAGAAGAACCGGTGCATGGACATCCTGCCCCCAGACCGCTGCCTGCCCTTCCTCATCACCATCGACGGGGAGAGCAGCAACTACATCAACGCTGCCCTCATGGACGTGAGTGCCCTGCTTCGCGCACGGGTCCGAGGCTGGGGTGACTGGACTGGGGAGGCTGCAGTACAGGCGTGGGTCTGCCCCTTCTGCTCACCAGCCCTTTTGTTTTTTAAGACACAAACTTTTGTTTCCAACAAAAAATAGATTTCAGATTCCACGTATGTTTTTGTGTCAGGGCTGATATCCTTGGTTTCTCAGGGACCACCAGGCCAGAAGTATCGGTAAATGCAACATGGCACAGTTGCCTCTGAGCGCTGAGATTTTTAATCTGCTGGGCGGGGAGCAGGGGACAGCTGTGAAGTCACCATGGCAGGAAAATGGGTTAATCGGTTTGCAGCATTATTTTAGTTCATTTTCCCGTAATTTAGCCTGTAGTTAACATAGGGGAAAGCGCAACTCATTACTTCCCATCAGTCTGTTTACTTGTTGCTATTCAGTTGATGGAAAGAGTGAATGGGTGTGTTCTGAGCTAACGCGGAAATTTTAATTCTATTGGTGTCATATCATAAAAGGTACCTAAACTTTTTTTGAAGCTCTTCAGAGCTGTAAAAAAAGTAGATGTATTCTTTATGGCAGAAATAAGAACACTGTCATACATACAAATTGCTAGCAAACAAGTTTTAGAAAAAGCAGAACTTTTAATTATGTGTAATTTTAAAAGTAAAGTTAAGTTTTCTCCATCAAGATACTTATGTATAGATTCGATATTGCTGCTCTACCAGAAATTTTCTAAAAATTGATAAGCGATACTAATTAAGTTTTCTTGGTATCAAAGTAAGGCTTTTATCACTATTATTCTGCAGAGAAGTTTATATTTAGTCTATGTTGGTGCTGACAATGGTGACAGAATTCAACACCTGTTAAACATGTTCAGTGTTTTGTGCCACAAGTTTCCTTCTGCATGAAATAACTTAGCTTCTTCTCTTCCCATTTTCCTGAGTATATTTGGAGCATTCTTGTTTGTGTTTGCAGAGCTATAAACAGCCTTCAGCTTTTATAGTCACCCAGCATCCTTTGCCAAACACAGTGAAAGACTTTTGGAGACTGGTCCTGGATTATCACTGCACATCCGTCGTTATGCTCAATGATGTGGATCCTGCCCAGGTGAGACCCGGACTTCTTACAGTCAGAGCTAGTGCCGGGGGGTCAAGTTTGTTTGTACCTGAGCAGTGCAGGCCCTGGTGCCAGGTCTCAAGTGCCAGTTGAAGTTGAGAACTGGGGATGCTGAACACAAAGGTTAAAAATCAGACGGAATTAGGGGTTAGAAAGTCAGTTGAAACCAGAAATACAGGCTGAAATCATAGATGGTTGAGGTGACAGGGCAAGACAGGGCCAAAAGTTGAGCTGTTCCTGAAAGATGGAAATACCCACTGGAGGTTGACAAGGTCGCAGACCGAGTCAGGGCTCAGCAGGAACCTGAACATCGCAGAGCCAAAGCAGAGCAAGCAGACCAGAGGACAGTGGAGAAGGGAAGATAGCATTTGACACAGCCCCTGATCCCATTCCTGGAGCAACTGTGTGCTTCCTGGCATGGCTCACTGGGAGCCTACAGGTGGAGATTGTCATGCAGGGTGACAGTGTTGGGATGACAGCGGAGACAGGCAAGCAATTTTAAGGCACAGCAATTAGTTTTCTCAATGCTTTCGTAAAGATATTAAAAAGAAATAATACTGGGACTTGCAGATAAGAGAAGTTTGGAATGATAGATGGGGCTTTTGCATAGTTACTCTTAAACATTAAAGAGAAAGAATTGGACAGCGATGACTCATTGTTAGTAATAGGGTTAGACACATTTTCTTGAAGCAGGTTGTCAGGCAAGCATTAGCGCAGTGGCCCTTTAGGAGATGAATTCATTGCTTTGGGATGTGCCTATACCAGTCATAGACAACCATCATGACAGTAGGCATTATGGGAAGTTTGACCTTAGCGTGTTTTAAGAAACAACTTGTTCTGGAACTGAATTAATTTCCTGTCCAGTAAACACAAATTCTTTCTCTTTCTTAAAAACAAACAAACAAAACAAACAAAAAAAAAAGGTCTGAAGCATTTCAGCATCCCAACTGGACATCATGGCCAGATTTTTCCTTCCTACAATCTATTTTCTTGCCATCGTCCAACCATAAATGGCATGGACATTCAATTCAGTTCTATAAGGTTTTTAATTATGTCTGAGGCACTGCATTATATAGTAAATCTCTCGCCTGAAGGCTGGTTAATGAAATAATAATGATAATCTTTGTTCTTATCCACTCCTTTTGGCTTAAGAAGCTTAAATATTTTAAAACTCTTCCCCATTGACGCTCTGAGAAGGTTAGCTTACGGTCATTTATAAAGACAAGCAGACACCATGGCTTGGGAAGCTTCAAAGACTCAACTCAAAATAGAACCAAGGATCCTGATTTTCTACCTTACAGTGGCATGGCTGAAATTTCACTAATTCTAGAGTCTTAAGTCACAGACACTTATAGAATAAGGACTTCTTCCTTATTTAGAATCATTATGGTTTTTTTCTTCATGTGAATTCTGAAATGTAGAGATATTTTTGTTCGTATTACTGAACAAGACATCAGTGATTGTAGTGTGTTCTTTCTGAACAACTGCATTGGAATTCTAAAGCCGCATCTAAACCCGAACTATCTGGACTCAAACCAAGCCTTGGCTGGCTCATGGGTAAGAGAGACAAAAAGACTCCAGTTCTATTCAGCAGACAGAGCTGATTTTCAGAGTGAGAGAAAAGAGGCTCCTGGGATTCAGTCTTTTAGCCAACACTAAACTGAGCATTTGAATGTAAAGGCTTTGCAGTTCTACAAGAATAGCACTCAACGATTTTAAGTATTTATAGGTCCGGTTCACGGACGTGTTATGCACCATTTAAGCCATTTTCTACATGGTTTACTTGGGCAGAGCATAGAATGCAACGTGCCAAGAGCAAGCACAAGCCGCGTCACTGTATTTCTTTGGTGTAAGTGGCAAGCTTTTGGTCAGGAGCTTGAACGAAGAAAGCAAGCAGAAAGCAGAGTACGTTCAGGCAGTAGAAAAATGGGCAGAACGGTTCAAATGTGCATGTTACAGCTTTTATTAATATCTTGGCTTCCCATCATAATGCCTGTTAATTTTAACAGTGGGTACCCTTGGGCATCAAAAAGAAAATAAACATCAGCATGCTATTATTTGACAAGGCAGTTTTATAACTTGTCACCAGGAAGTGCTGGTGAGGGAGGAAATATTTCATGGAAGCATTATTTAAAAATAAATAAATGTAATTTTTAAAATACTATCAGCTTAGCTAACATAAAAAGCACCCTTGGTTACCCTACTCTCATTCTTACTTATAAAATCCCACCTTAACTGTTCTGTGATGGAGAGAGGGATATTGCCGTTTCGGCTGACCCACTGCTCCCTGAAAACTATCCTGCAATCTTGGGTATAAATCAACCTTAGCAGCCTTTGACAATGAGATTTTAGATCCTTTGGAAAATAGAAATCATCTAGAAATTCAACCAGTGGATCCTCCTTTTGTGACACATCATTCTGCACAAAATTAGGTGATTGTCTTCCTCTGCTCTTGGCCCAGTATAGAAACAGGTTATATAATAAAGTAGTTCTCTCCTTGCCTTTCCATAGGCCACCTGTCCCTCAGCTAAATCAGAAAGATAAAACTTAGATGCAGCTGGGCGCGTTGGCTCACACCTATAATCCCAGCACTTTGGGAGACCGAGGTGGGCGGATCATGAGGTCAAGAGATTGAGACCATCCTGGCCAACATGGTGAAACCCCCTCTCTAGTAAAAATACAAAAATTAGCCGGGCGTGGTGGCACATGCCGGTAGTCCCAACTACTCGAGAAGCTGAGGCAGAGGAATCGCTTGAATCCAGGAGGTTGTGGTGAGCCGAGATCATACCGCTGCACTCCAGCCTGGCAACAGAGCGAGCTTGTGTCTCCAAAAAAAAAAAAAAAAAAAAAGTAGATGCTACTTAAAAAAAAGTCATAGGAATAAGAAGTCCCTGTAATTTCAAACTTTAAATGCCTATTAAGGTTTCAGGGCTTTAAGAAGGGTTTTGGAAGAGAAAAGTCTTAGCAGTTCTTCCTTCCTGACTGTTTCCAAGGGTAGGAATTTTGTGGGGTGCTAGCTAATAAGCACCTTCATAAGCCACCATACCCAGCACCACTCCTGCTGCACTGAGTTGTGCATTTACAGTCATGCAAAAGTTCTAGTTACTCAGTATCAACAATAGCTAGAGTTTGAGGCTCTAGGAAATTGCTTTTTTAATTAGGCCACTTCCAGGTAAAACAGCAAAGCATTTACTCTTACTACAACAGATTTGCTAGATCTGAGCTGCAAGGGTTTGGACTGGAACATAAAAATGCAACCCAACAATGTTATCAGTTCCAAACCTTGTCACAAAATAGCCTTATTCCCAATAGTGGTTATAAAATCCACTCGCAGTCCCAGCCAGCAGAGCATGGAGATCTGGGCATTAAGACTTGTATAGCCATCTTGAGTACCTTACATCCTGGGGTGGCACCTGGTGCCTCTCCCTGGGGGCCTGATGAGAGTTCCTTTCACCATGCAAAAGGGGACATGGCGACTGCCATTCACATGACCTCATAGGAAAGCAGAATTAGTCATGGCTAAAAGGTGCTTTCTGAGAAAATGAAGGAAAAAGTCCCAGGAAAAGGACAGGTGGAGTTGAGGAATCAGCCAGCAAGGAAGTCCAAAAGCCTACATTGCTGGGAGGAGAAGAGAGAAAGAAAAGAAGACAAAGAGAGTCAGTGAAGTCTTCAGAATTCCTGAATGATGTCTCCAAACACAGCATCCCACACCTGTAATCCCAGCCATCTGGGAGGCCGAGGCAGGAGGATCACTGGAGAAGAGGGATTCAAGACCAGCCTGGGCAACGTAACGAGATCCCTGTCTCTCCAAAAATACAAAAATTAGCCAGGCATGGTAGCACACACCTGTGGTCCCAGCTACTTGAGAGGTTTAGGGGCAAGAGTTGCTTGAGCCCAGGAGTTCAAGGCTGCAGTGAGCCATGATCACACCACTGCACCCCAGCTGGGGAGACAGAGTAAGACCCTATCGCTTAAAAAAAAAAAAAAAAAAGGATTACTGAATGTCAGTACTAACCTTATCCAAACTGTTAGGAGTAAATTTCCTCTTTTAATTAACCCTGTGTTTATATGTTTTGAATTCAGTTGTGTCCACAGTACTGGCCAGAAAACGGAGTACACAGACACGGCCCCATCCAGGTGGAATTTGTCTCTGCTGACCTAGAAGAGGACATCATCAGCAGGATATTCCGTATTTACAATGCAGCCAGAGTAAGAGACGGGCCCATCGTGCCTGTGATTATGGCTTCATTTATTTTCTCACTCATTGACTATTTGGAGCACTTACTCTATGTCAGTCACTGTTCCAGGAGTTTGGAATATGTCAGTGAAACAAAAAAGCACAAATTTCTGACCTTACGGAGCTTACGTTATAACGGGAGCAGTATTTAGAACGTAATGATACTTATTAAAGCACGGCAAGGCAGACTTTATTCAAGACCATCCTGATAGTTGCAGGGACCCCTGTCACAGGACCTTGCAGCGGACGAGAGAGAGTGGGCTCAACTCCAAGTATGGCATGGGCAGGCAGGAATTTCTAGCCAACAGGCAGGGTGGGGGTCCGTGGATGGAAAATTACTAAGGGGAGGCATCAAGAGTAAGAGGGGTTCTGGCTAAACTGACCTAACAGGATTCTGGCTGAAGGCAGGCCCTCAGCTGTCTGGTGGAAGACATACCTGGGGAGTGGTGGAGGATGAGGAACCTGATCAGATACCAAATATGATCAGACATTGAGGGTGGGTGGTTCTTGCCACGGTGACTTAGCAGAAATTGCTGAAACTGGATTTTACAAGGAAGTTCATGGATAGGCCTAGGAGAAGGGTCAGGAGCCTGGCGAAAGTTTGGTCTAGCAAAGAATTATTGTCAGAAATCAGACAATAAATAACAGATATAATAACAGATGCAGTAAGTTAGGAAGTGACAAATTCTACAGGAAAATCAGTAGGTGGGTTAGAAAGTGCTAGGGCCTTGCACAGCGGAAGCACGCTCTGTTGTAAGCATGCGTGCCCTGTGAGCCAAGACGGACGAGGCCAGAGGGCACTGAGGCTCTCTGGGGAGGCAGCTTTCTAGGCAGAAGGAAGGTTCAGTGCAGAGGCCCCAAGATGTGTTCGCCAGTGTGAGTGCCAGGACAGCAAGGAGGTGTGTGGCCCAGGCTCAGTGAGCAGAGGCAAGAGTAGCTGATTGGGAGTGAGCAGTTCACCTGGAAGGACAGTGGCCTGGGGTCCCCAGGTCGAAGGGCCTGGCAGTCACTGTCAGCATTTGGGTTTTTGCTTTAAAGGAAATAAGGAGCCATTCCAGAGTTTTGAGTGCAAGAATCCAGTGGTGTAATTACATTTTAAAAGGAGCACTCTGGCTCCTGTGTTGAGAATAGACTGGAGGAGAGAGGCATCAGGAGGCTGTTGGGATAAGCCCCGTGAGAAATGATAGTGATGGGAGAGGAGATCATGGTGAGACGGGAGAGAGCAGGAGTGGAGGTCATGAGAAGGGGAAGGTTCTGATATTTTCTGAAGGTAGAGCCAGCACGATCCCAGGGAATGGAGGGGACTCAAGGTTCCTGTCCTGAGAGCTAGGATGATGGAATGGGTACTGACTGAGTTGCCGAGGCTGCCCGTGTAACCGGATTGTTTGGGGGTGGGGGGCATTATGGAGAGAGGATCAGAAGCTCAATTGTAGACATACTAGGTTTGGAATGACTGTTAGGCCCCTAAGTGGGAATATCAGGTAGGCCTTTGAAAATATAAGGGTGAAATTCAAGAGAGAGGGCTGAACCAGATATATGACTTTATGACTTATTGGGATATTGGTAATATCTAAAGCCATGAGCATCAGTGAAATCAAATGAGAGGCAGCAGAAGAGGAAGCGCCCTAGGGATTGAGCCTGGGAGCTTCTGGGAGAAGGGGAGACTGAGGCAGAGAGAGCAGGAGGGAGGGACTGCTGTGGGAGAAGGACCAGCCAGTGAGGAAAGCATGTGGACAAGAAGAGAGTGTCACCCGTGTTAGATGCCGCTGAAGGCCACAGAAGATACAGTCCAGGTGATTTAGCCGTGGCCGGATTAAAGCTGTTTTCATGTTTCTACCATAAGCTAAGTAACACTTTTTTGAATTCTGCAATTCTATTTCGTTATGACTAAGGATTAATTAACTTGCTATCTTAGCAAGATTCAACATCAATAAGCAAAACCGTGTTATGCTCACAGGAAGCAGTGTTCTCTGTCTTCACACTGAGCTCACAGACATCTCCAGGTTTTAAATTATTCATTACCTGTAATTTACCTGTAATTGAAGTTATTTTACTGCTTAACATGACAATGTGGTCAGTGCTTATGCTGTGTTATTTTTCTCTTGGCTTTTGCAGAATGGGAAGCATTCTGCCTCACTCGTATTTGTCTGGCCTGTCATTTAAAACCCCTGGTTGTTTTTAACTGCTCCAGATTAAAAACCATAACTCTTCAGGCCAGCAGAAGCCACCTTGGTAATTTGTAGGCAGGACTCGCCTTTAATAATGGGAAGATCAAGTGGGTGGAAGGAGCTCGCTGGAATTCAGTAAATAATGCCTGTTTTCCTTCCACTCCCTGATTGTCGCCTGGTTCTTTGTAGCCCCAAGACGGATATCGGATGGTGCAGCAATTCCAGTTCCTGGGCTGGCCGATGTACAGGGACACACCAGTGTCCAAGCGCTCCTTCTTGAAGCTCATCCGCCAGGTGGACAAATGGCAAGAGGAGTACAACGGCGGGGAAGGCCGCACTGTTGTGCACTGCTTGTAAGTGCCTGACAGAGCTCTTCATTTAAGAACAGCCAGACCCCACACTCGCTCTCGCCCCCTGTTTCTCTGTCTTTTGTTTCACTAGAAATGGAGAAGAAATAAGTAGGTCTAGGTGACGGGGTGGTCATGACACTCAGGGATTGGTTGGCTTTTCAGGAAACAGGATATGCACATCCTTCATTTGGATGGTGTGCCACTGCTGTATAAACAAGCACTGGCCTTTTGATTAGGAGCCCTCTCCCCTGAAAAAAAAAAAAAAAAAAAAAAAAAAATTATGAGATCCAATTGTTAAGCTTTCAGGAATTTTCT